ATGCTAAATACACTAATTTTAAGACATTTTTACTCGTTTCCAGATCGTTTTTGCAGTGTGCAGGCTAACAAAGAACCCAAAACGCCACCCCATTCCTAAAGGGTTGGACCTGTTCTGGTTCAATTTGCATGTTTTCTAAGCCAAAACAAGTTTTTGAGCTACCATATAAAGCTTTGAACTCAACTCTAATTCTGACATTTTGAAAAAGCTTCCTGGATGGGAGGCGAAACGTCTTCAAACTTGGAAACCAAGTCCAGTGGATTGTTTTTTTTAAACATTTTTTGAAAATTCTGCTTCATATCCTCTGCACTGGTGGAAGAAGCTCTCAGCAGTAGGACAGGTGTTGGGTTTTGTCCTTTTCAAGCTTTACACAGAGCTTCATCTCTTCCAGAATAAGCTAAGTTTATGGGAAACAGGTGAAGCTAAGTGTTTGTTGTCATTGATGTCTACTAATCTGCATCTTTGTAATCCTGGAGAGCTCTTAAGACTGATGAAATATTCTCAGCAAGCCCCCACGGATCTGTGTTTGTTTACTATCCGTGCAAATATGTGTTTTGATAACCGTCTTGTCTGAAGTTCCCTGCGTCCGACTGCAGAAGCGCACAGAGTGGCTCATTAACTATTTAAGAGGCAGATTTAAATGTTTCTGGGACATGAATTTATTTACTGCTGCTTAGGGTGTATTTGCGTGCTGTTTTCTTACGGGCTCTCCTAGCAGAAAGCACTTTTATTCAGTAGGCTTAATATTCATCATGTGGTCTTTATGTCTGTATGGTCTTTGTGTGCTTTTTGCCTACTTTCTATGAGCTGTAAAGTTTTCAACGCTTCTCTTTTTGTGCAGAGAAGTCTGTTTACGGGAAGCAAACAGTGTCGTCTGGCAACGCAAACAACTTTCAGAGGAAGAAAGCTGTTTTAAATTTACTGTGGATGTAAAGAATGAATAGATTTGCTTAAGGTTTTGAAGTTTTGCCACCAATATTAACAATGAACACTGCAAAAAATGGAAATCTAAATGAGTAATTTTTGCTTGAATTAAGTGAATTTTTTCTTAAAATGAGGAGGTAAGAGGAATACTTTGCCAATGGAACTTGACAATTTACAATTAAAATAAGAAAAAAAATTTGCTTTGTCTTATTTCAAGTGCATACTAACTAATGATCTCATTTTAGGCGTAAAAATACTCATTCCATTGGCAAATCATCTTATTTATTTGCTTAAATTAAGGGGAAATACCCTTGATTTAATAATTTTTTTACTTATTTCTAGATGGTTTTTTGCAGTGAAGGAGTCTGTACCAAATTTATCAAGTCAGAATTTTGCCAAACATGCACACACTGGAAAAATCAAAATCTAGATAAGTATTTTTTTCTTAAAATAAGTGCATTTGTTCTTGGATTGAGGAGGTAAAAGTGACATTTTGCCAATGGACCAAGACAACACTGCAAAAAATGGAAATCTGTATGAGTTATTTTTGCTTAAATTGAGTGAATTTTGTCTTGAATTGAGGAGATAAGTGAGACACCTTGCCATTGGAACAAGAAAATTTACATTTAAAATAAG